AAGGCCGCGAAGAGAGGGTAACGCACCTCAGGGAGGTCAGAGAGCCCTATGAGGATGAATTGAGTCACTGTGGTAAGATTGTAGACATCCATCTTTTCTGTGCACAATGTTTCTAAGGGAAGTGGAAGCAAAGAACGAAGATTAGAGTGATAAATCAGGGATCCTGGTGCTATGAAAATGGAAAAACAGCAGAGTATGGTTGAAAAAAAATTGTCTTAACTCTATCTTAATTATTATTATCTGATCGTGGTGGATGATCTTTTACATGTGTTTTCAGATTCACTTTGCAAGTATTTTACTGAGTATTTTTGCATCTATGTTCATAAGGGAAATTAATCTGTAATTCTCTTACTTTGTTGAGTGCTTTGAGTATCACAATTACTGTGGCCTCACAAAATGAATTTGTCAATGTTCCTTCTGTTTCTATTTTGTGGAAAATTTTGAGGACAATTGATGTTTACATTAACTATTCTTTGAAATTCTGGTAGAATTCTGTGCTATAAACCATCTAGTCCTGGGCTTTGGGGAGTGGGGGAATAAGGGTTGGAAGATTTTTAATGACTACTTCTAATTCACTGGGAGTTATGGGTACATTTAAATTGCTTATCTAATCTAACTTTGGTAAGTGGTACCTATCAAGAAAATTATTCATTTCTTTTAGCTTTTTCAAATTTGGTGAAGTAAAGTATGTCCTTATGATTTGTAAAGTATGTCCTTATGATTCTCTGAATTTCCTTGGTGTCTGTTGTTATGTGGATTTACCTTTTAGAAGTTCTAAAACTTCTTTGATTCCATACTATTTCTGAATATACAAAATCCCCATTCCATCTCTAGAGGAAATTCATGAGTAACTAAAGAGACCTTGAAAAATCATCTCTTTACTAATCATAGAGAATTCTTCAGGTTTTTTTTCTATTTCACAATTCATTAAATATTGATCTATTTTTCACATTACCTTAAACATTTGATTCATTCTGTCAAGGATTGTTTTAATGTATATGATACTACATACTACTTCAGTCTTAATTAAGGTAGAACTAGTCCATTACACAACTACTTACTTCATATATCCTATTATATAAACATCATATTATATACACTTATATGTTCATTGGTAGATAAAACTTTAATGCTAGGAATTACCAGATTTGTAGGCAACTACATCAACAATGGAGTGAGGAATGTATAAATGATTCATATCCTCTACTTGGAAGAAATAAATGTAGAAATGCTTCTATAACTTTAACACCATATCTTTAAGATATGAACAATATCATTTTCATTAATTTATGAATAATAAGAATGTTAAGCAGACCATTTAGAAGAAGTTAGTCAAAACCTGAAAATTAGTATTTTGTTTGATTTGTGGTTTTTGAAAACATTTTTCTATAACATCACAGATTAGACAATTCTACCACAAACTGATTAGAAAATAAAATGAAAATTTACATTTCATAATCCTACTCCTACCTATTTTGCCTGGTAAAAACAGTGAATACTTTCTTCAGTAAGTTAAAATGCACAGAAAAATAATATAAATAATACATAATGATTTTTATCCCCAAAATGTATAAAGGTCTTTAATCTTCCCCTCCATATAATACATCCCTACATTTAGAAGACTAAGCCTGGAAAATTGTGAATTTGAGGCCACCCTGAAGTACAAAGCAAGGCCCTGTTTCAAAATAAAAGGAAAAGAGAGAGGACTATGGTTTGTTTCTTTTCATTCCTCAAGCAACAACAGATTTGGAACATATTTCAGAAAAAAAATAAATTTATATTGCCAGTCTTTTCAAATTTGGAAACATAACAAAGCAAATGATTACAGTAATTACAAAATACGTGCATGTCATTATGAAGTTGATGAAGGGTGTTCCTGGTGAATAACAATGACAGTGACAGAAACAAAAGTGAATCATATCAACTATGAGTATTTTCAAATCATATCAGCTATGGTATTTTCAAAACCCGATGGAACTCTCAAATTTCATCCTATGCAGAAGAGATAAAAATAAAATAGGACACTTTTATTGCAGTAGCCACATCGTAAGCACAAATGTTTACTTATGTAATAACTCACTTTTTCCTCACAGAAATTTGGCTTTTTAAAACAAGAACTACAAGAAATATATTTTAGACCTGGCGGTGGTGGTGCACGCCTTTAATCCCAACACTTGGGAGGCAGAGGCAGGCGGATCTTTGTGAGTTTGAGACCAGCCTGGTCTACAGAGTGAGATCCAGGAAAGGCACAAAGCTACACAGAGAAACCCTGTCTCGAAAAAAAAAAAAAAAAAAAAAGAAATAAATAAATATATTTTAGAACATTCTGATTAAGAAATCTACCCCATTCTTAAGATTATGTAATCAATATATACATAATAAAAACTGGCAACGCATTTTTCTTAATTTTGTACATTATGATTTTAATGTATTCTGTGAAACTAATGGTCCTTGCATTTGTGCACATGTAAAGGCTTCAGATATTTATCAACCTTTGATCCTAATGTAAACATAATTTATTCTTAACAATTTGTGATGTAGGTAAAAAAGACTTTATCAACAACATAGTTCTCAGAAACAGGTTCTAGAATCTTACATAGGGATCAATAGTTTCTAGATTTAGGGAAGCTTTATTAAATTTAATCTCTCTAAGTATATTTTATGGTTATTTGATATAATTGGGAATTTTAAACATACAGGTGAGAATTAATAAAAGCAGCTTTCTGTATCGAAAGCATTACATTTCTATTGAAAATTACCTATAATTCAGATTTTTTTTACCATTTCTGACATACAACTTTGCATATAGTGAATTCTAAAATTACTATACTCTTTTTAGAATAATCAAATTTCTGCCACATAGGGAAATATAAAGAGATAAAATTTAGCAAAAATAGAACATATGTATCTTAAATCATGGCACTTTTAAGACTGTATTTGATTAGCATATGTATCAATAGCAATAAAATATTGCATTCAAATTAAATTAAATAAAAAATATTTAAATTAAAATGTTACCAATAAATAGTTTTGTCAAGACAAAGATGATCCAGCAACAAATTACATCAGTATATAAAAATGAAATCAACACTTGTTCTTAGGACTCACACTAGGGGTTAGTCCATAATTTATATTATTTCCACTGTCCCCTTAGGGAAGCAGGATAATAAGAACTCTAGAGAGAATCATCACATTACTACCAACTTAGTAATAAGGACACAGAGATAATCAACTTGATGTAAGTTTTAACATAAATCTACATTACATGAGTGCTATTTTTGTTCCTTGTAATGGTCCATGGACCTGTCCCCCCTGGAATGAATTTGGCCAATGGTAATTATGTGGTGGAAGACTTATTTTGTGGTTTTCAAGAGTGTCTTCTGCAGTTAACAATGTCTTTTCCTGATGTAAAAGGTTTGACTTGCCTCATAGAGTATGGCAAAACAAAGATTTTTGTAGTAATCACATGGCCAAACAAAAGTAAGGAATACATTGGTGATAGTAAGCTACTTTTTGTGATGACAAAAGTCCCTCAATGAACATATCATTACATTTTTATAAATAATCTCTTTCTTTCCATTATAGAGCAAAAATGTTAACACATGGGCTTGGGGATTTAGCTCAGTGGTAGAGTGCTTGCCTAGCAAGCATAAGACCCTGGGTTCGGTCCTCAGCTCTGGAAGGAAAAAAAAAAGAAAAAAGAAAACAAAAAAATCTCCTGAAACAAAAAATCTTTAAAAAAAATGTTAACACATTTATTCATTAACACACAATATACCTTGTGGAAACTATATGCCTTCAAATGAATAACATTAACAGCAGAGAACTTCTGTGAACATAGACACAAACTCATTTGAATATGCACCTTCAACTGGACTCCTGATGGCCCACTGATATTCTCTAGATATGTAGTACATAAACAAAAAGGTATATGAAAGAAAGAGGGGTCTGTAGTTATTGAAACCAGGTTAATTGAATACATACATGTAAAGGCTTTAAGATTTCCACTTTCCTATGACTTTTCAAATAATGGATAATTACAATCAAAAACATTCAAATAATGATGGATACTATTTTTCTCTATTGTGTGTTATTGACCTCTTTGTCAAAATCAGAGAGCTTTAGGAGCATGAGCTCACATCTGAATCCTCAACTCTTTTCGTGTGTGTGTGTGTGTGTGTGTGTGTGTGTGTGTGTGTGTGTGTATCCAACTTTATTACTTTATTACATTTCTACTAGACAGATTAAAATTCTGTTTTAGATACAGATGTGAGGTACTTAATGATTCTGATACCCTCTTCTAGTAATTATTTTAACATTTACATCATTAAAATGTGTGGAGTGAATAGAAAACATTAGGAGGACATTTTCTTTTTTAATTTTATAATTAATTTAATTTTACATACAAGCCATAGATTCCTCTGGCCTCCCTCCTCCCACCCACTCCAACCCCCCAATACACCCCCCATTCCCACCTCCTCCAAGGCAAGGACTCCCCTGGGGATTCAGCTCAGCCTGGTAGATTCAGTTGAGGCAGGTCCAGTGCCCTCCTCCCTTCACCTAGGCTGAGCAAAGTGTCCTAGCATAGGCCCTAGGTTCCAGCTCATTCACTAAGGACAGGTCCTGGTCCTATTGTCTGGGGGCCTCCTAAATAGTTCAAGATAATCAACTGTCTCACTTATCCAGAGGGCCTGATCCAGTTCCATGGAGGCTCCTCAGCTATTGGTTCATAGTTCATGTGTTTCCATCAGTTTGGCTATTTGTCCCTGTGCTTTTTCCAATCATGGTCTCAATATCTCTTGTTAATATAAATCCCTCTTCTCTCTCACTGATGGGACTCCTGGAGCTCCACCTGGGGCTTGACCATAGATCTCTGCATCTGCTTCCATCAGTCACTGGATGAGAGTTCTATCATGACAGTTAGGGTGTTTGGCCATCCAATCACCACAGTAGGTCAGTTCGGGCTTTCTCTCGACCATTGCCAATAGTCGATTGCGGAGATATCTTTGTGGATTTCTGGGGACCTCTATAGCACTTTGCTTCTTCCTATTCCAATGGGGTCTTCATTTATCATGATATCTCCTTCTTTGTTCCCCTCTCATTCTTGATCCAGCTGGGATCTCCAGCTCCACTAAGTTCTCTTCCCCCGACCCTTGCCCTTTATTACCTCTCCTCTTGTCCAGTTTGCTCATGTAGATCTCATCCATTTCTCTGTCATTGGGCGATCACTGTGTCTTTCTTAGAGTCAGGAGGACATCTTCTATCCAAGTACTAAAGAGGCAGATACATCTATTTTAGTCCTGACTAATTACTAGCATCCAAGATGACTGTAATACAAATAAGATCATCTCAAGTCAATTTGTGAAAATATGAAAAACAAAACCAGTAACAACAACATACCACCTTTTCAAGACACTGTAGCTTGAAAAGTACTCCTAATATTTACATAAACAATGGACCACTTATTTGATGGGCATCTCATTCTATATATTATAGATGAAAAATAACTGTCACCAAATAAAAGCACAATATGAGAGGAACATAAAACAGAAGGAATAGGAGAACCTGAAAATAAAATTCAGTAAAAGGATTTGCCACACTACATACTTCAATGGATAGCTCAAAAATTTCAAAATACAAATCACAATGCAGTGATCTCCAACATCAGACATAAGCAAAAATTTAAATTATTTACTTTCTTCAAGGCTTTGAATTTAAAAAAAAAAGATGAAGCAAGAATTTTTTTTATAACTGAAGGCAACTTTAGTACGTAATGTCTTCAACAAATTGTTTCCAAAAATTGGGGCTTTCTCTTGTATGAGTCCTTTCCTATTTCTTAAAATCAAGATGATACATAAAGGTATTGAAATATTATTTGTGCCTGGGTGGTGGTGACACATGCCTTTAATTCCAGCACCCGGGAGGCAGAGGCAGGAGGATCTGCTGTGGGATGTTCTGTATGGACTAATTTAAGCTATAAGCACAGTTAGCAAGAAGCCTGCCACGGCCATACAGTTTGTAAGCAATATAAGTCTCTGTGTTTACTTGGTTGGGTCTGAGCGGCTGTGGGACTGGTGGGTGACAAAGATTTGTCCTGACTGTGGGCAAGGCGGAAAACTCTAGCAACAAGGATCTCTATGAATTTGAGGCCAGCCTGGTCTACAGAGTTAGTAATAGGACAACCAGGACTACACAAAAAAAAGCCAATCTTGAAAAAAACAAAAATATGATATTTATGGGGCTAGAGAGATGATTCTTCAGTTAAGAAAAGTTCATCCCCAGGACCCAAGTCAGCTGACTGAATCATCCTGCAATTCCTAATAAAATGATTCTATGCCTCTGGCTTCCTTAGGCATCTGCATGAACATGAACATGTACAAGACTAAAACCAGACAAACTGACATCACATGGTTATAAATTAAAAAAATATTTTTTAATGAAATTTTTTCCTTTATTTTACATCTTGACTGCAGTTTTCCCCCTACTCTCCTCTTGTTTCCTCCTCCACCTTCCCTCATGCCCCCATCCACTCCTCCTCCATCTCCATTCAAAAAAGGGCAGGCTTCCCATGGGTGTCAACAAAGCATGTCACATCAAGTCATCATAGGACCAAGATCCTCCCCCTGCATCAAGGCTGGGCAAGGCAACCCAGCATAGGGAATAGATTCCCAAAAGGCAGCTCAAGCACCAGGGATAGGTCTTGATCCCACTGTTAGGAGACCAACAAACAGATCAAGCTACACAACTGTCACACATATGCAGAGGGCTGAGGTTGGTCCCATGCTGGCTCACTAGCTGTTGGACCAGCATCTGTAAGTTCCCAAGAGCTCAGGTCAGCTGTCTGTGTGGGTTCCTCCATCATGACCTTAACCTCCCCACACACCTTGCACAATCCCTCTTTCCTCTCTTTAACAGGACTCCCGGAGCTCAGCCCAGTGCTTGGCGCTGGATCTCTGCATCTGCTTCCATCACTTACTGGATGAAAGATCTCTGATGACAATTAGGGTAGTTGCCAATCATATTATAGGAGATGGTCAGTTCAGGAACCTTTTCCACTAATGCTATGACAAATCTTTAAACAAACATAAATCCCACTCGTAACTTTTCTCCTACAAGAGTCCATTTCTGCAACCCAGATGTTATAGCAACTAAAAGCTTACCTGCAAAGCTTTGCTTCACCATGAATTTGTTTATGTAACTGGAGGCAGGTATGCAAGCTAAAGTTTTTTTACACACTGGTTACATTCATAGATTTTCTCTCCAGCATTTCATTCACATCCTTAAAACTGTCAATGGCATGTAAAGGTGTTGCCACTCTGTTAAAAATTCTGTGGTGGTTTAAATAAGAAAGGTACTCCATACTTTTAGACATTTGAATACTTGGTCCACCATGGGTGGTATGGTTTGGAATATTTAGTAAATGTCTCCTTGCTAGAGGAAATATGTCACTGGGGTGAGCTTTAAGAGTTTAAAGCCTCGCC